CGAGATGTGCGGGGGAGGCGCCTGGCTCTTGGCGGGGGTGCTGCTCCTGCTGCTGCTGTAACGAGAGGAGGGGCTGTCAGGGCACAGAACAGCCCCACACACACCACACAACCTCAGCACGCCAAACACAGTGTTACAAAGCCCAGTTACCATTTCCAGTCCTACCCCTTCCTCAACACCTGTTCGGGTATCTTTGACTTCCTGTGGTCCCCACACACCTGAGCCGGGCTCTCCTGTGCTGTATTGTCCCACAACAGCACAAAGGAGTAATCAGCCCTGGGCATTCATGACTTAATTATCAGGTCCTTTCTACATGACTGCTCCTGGTTCATGCTTTCAGGCAAATGAAGCTCAAAATCACTGCATTAATAAAAGTTTAATTTTTTTAAAAGTGAATTACTAAGATGAAAGATTGCAGAAAATGTTCAGAAGGCAACAACAGATTTGTACTTATTGTACAGGTAATGTCCCTCTCTACCTCACAATAAAATGAGATAAGCTGAGTCAACAAAAGAAGTATTTGTGATTACACTGGCTGCAAATTTTCAGGTTTCATTTCCTACTAATGAGTATTTAAAATACATTCATGGAAGGCTTAATTCTCCTTGCCTTTATTTCAAGTAACAACATGCTTCTACTGCAGTGACTTTTAAAGACAAGCAATACCAGCTTGGTTAAAAATAAATCCAGGTCTTAAACACCTCACAGTCTTTAGTCAAAGCATGAAGCAACCACAGCGCTACTTCCCCAGGTCTTGAAGGTCACACCTGCCTGCTGGGAGCTCGACTTGGAGAACGGCAACCCAGCTTAGAGCAGGGGAAATCTGAGATCCCTGACTCAGAGGAACATCACCGGTTCCTGAGCACATGGTGTTTAATCTCACTGCTCATCTCTGTTATCCACAGATAAAAGGTGAGGCTGATATCACCGTGGACAGGTGAGAGAGAAACACTGAAGCCTGCAAGGTGTCAGCAGTGCAGGAAAACACGGAGCTGGGAAGTGCCTGGTGTGTGACTGCTGGTGCTGGGCTGTCACCAGCTGCACCTTGATCGAGGGGCTCCTGGGTTCCTTGCCCTTGGCAGCGCTTGGAGAAAACAGATATTTACAGAGATGGGAGGGCAGAACTGTCAGCCTTCAGAGAGCAGCCCAGTGCAGGAACTGGGCTTTTCTTCCCCTCATCTACATACACTGTATAAAATTCCCTCCAAAAACCCAAGTATGGCAGGGAAAAAAATCCAAAGCAAATGAACTTAAAATACCAGTTTATGGGATCACCGGGTCACAGAGAGATCCTGGCTCATCTCAGGGGATGAACAGAGGTTAAATGCACCAAGTGCCCTGTATTTCCCAGGGATGGGATGGGATGTCCCTTCTTTATCCAATTCCCCTCCAAGCTCAGCTCAGCACCCCAGACCCCTCTCTGTGCACCTACCTTAAGCTGTTGAGGCTCAAGCTGCTGCTGTTGTAGGCAGAGAGCGGCTGCGAGAGGCTCTNAGGAACCGCGTGTTCAGCTCCTGCCGCAGGAGGTCTTGCTCTGAAACACAGAAGCACAGAGGGACAGAGGTCATGGGCTTGGAAATGACTTGGAGATCACAGAGTCCAGCCTGGGACCCAACAGCAGCCTGGCACCCAGACTGACCGGTCTGGCCTTTTGTCTCTGCCCAGTCACGCGTAGGTGGCCTTGGGACAGCTCGCGCTCCAAAGGACTCTTCAGATTTTTCGGTCTTCAATATTGTTTATTATCTCTTATCTACAAAGTTTTCTCCCAGCCTGACAGAGGTCTGACCAGCAAGGCAGCCAAGGGCACACTGACCTCCCACTGGGCGGTCGTCTATTTTTATACTAAAAACTATGTACAATATATTTACCTTTACCTTCCAATACCTTTTACCCACACTAACAAGTGCACATTTAACATGAACCAATCCCAAAGTGCCAACATCACCACAGAAAATGGATGACAAGAAGAAGAAAGAAGAAGGACAAGCACACCCTAATTCCTCCATCTTGTCTCCATAACTCCCCTGTACCAAAATCCCAAAACCTGTATTTTCACCCTGTGGATAATTAATTCTTACACCTCTTATCCCCAAGTGATAAGTCCTCTTGTCCTCATACAGGTGGCACATCCCGTGCAGGGTCAAAATCCAACCACCAAGCACTTCTGGCAGCATTCCAGGATTTCTGAGCCCCCCAAGGGTTGTCTCGGCAACTCTGGACATCCAGAGTGATGTGCTCAGTTCCCACACCAGACCATGGCACTGAGAGCCACATCCAGTCCTTTTATAACACCTCCAAGGACAGAGACTCCACCACCTCCCTGGGCAGCCCATTCCAATGCCCAATCACCCTTTATGTGAAGATTTTTTCCCTAATGTCCAGCCTAAACTTCCCCTGGTGCAGCTGAAGGCTGGGTCTCTCATCCTGTCGCTGTTCCCTGGGAGCAGAGCCTGACCCCCCTGGCTGCACCCTCCTGTCAGGGCCTTGCAGAGAGTGATGGGGTCTGCCCTGAGCCTCCTCCTCTCCAGGATAAACAACCCCAGCTCCCTCAGCTGCTCCTCACAGGACTTGTGCTCCAGACCCCTCACCAGCCTTGCTGCCCCTCTCTGGACATGTTCCAGCCCCTCCATGTTCTTCCTAAATTGGGGAGCCCAAATTGGACGCAGCACTCCAGGTGTGGCCTCACCAGTGCTGAGTGCAGGGGGAAATAAACAATAAAACAATAAAACAACTCCCCCAAGCTTTTTCAGGCCTTGTGCCACTTCCTTTGCTGTCTGTGGATAATCATGACACAGTACAGGGTAAAAAAGCCCCCTCAGGTCTTCCTTCAGATCCCAAGGCCTGAGACATTACAAAGTTTCCATTTCCCCTCTTACCAAGCCTGTTTTCCCATTTCTCTGAGCATTTATGGACACAGACACAGTCCTGAATAGGTGAGGGTGGATGAGCAAGCTGGAGGGAGCA